CAAGTGACCTTCTTTGATTGTAGGTACGAATGGAGAATATCTCGGTATTGGGCGAAGACGTAGAAGTTGTGGACGAGATGTACGTCAACGGTGGCCGAGTGCTTCCTCACAAGCAAATTAAAGACTGTGTCACGGAGCCACAGATTATTATGTGACTCTCGCTCGTGCATCCTATCCTCCTGTCCTCCATAATTTAATTACTTCAATTTTTAACAACTTGTGTATTTATTACCAATTCTCTTGTGTATTTTTTGTTCTGTTTTAATTTTGTATGTGAATTGGGAGATGAGGCCCTTTAGGATACTGTGGTTGTTCGTTTTCAATAGTTTTTTGTTGACAAACAAAGAGGGATTTTGAGTCTTGCATTCAGAACAAAGGGTACAGCGGTACCTGGTCCGGCTGTCCTTCAACAGTCAGTCCACAGACTGCCAATCGGGGCGCCATGCCAGACAACAATGGTGGTTAATGCGTGCGGCCGCCGGGATGGTGGTGGACCAATCAGGCCCTCATCAAGAAAACAGCTTAAAACCTCGACGGTCCGCCCTGTGGACATTCAGCCATGGTGGTCGAAGTAATCATCAGCTTCGGCCAGTGTGGGTTTATGACCTCCTTAATCTTACCTCATGCTTTTTTCCTAGTTAATTCTGGAACTGTCTTGCATGATTAGAAGTACATTGTTGCTATTGTTAATCGCATCGATGCCATCTGTGCCGAATTGCATTTCAACTGCCTCATTTCCTACGCATACATTAAGGGTCTCTACATGAGTGATTACAAAACCACGATAGATAAATCAAAGGCAAAGCATTTATTACTAAAAGAAAAAGGAAAGTAACAATTACATGAATCCAAATCTTTGGCCTCACCGAGCCTTATTTCTCTTTTCCAAAGAAATTAAGGGCAAAAAACTCAAAGTTTTTCAAGCGCCTCAGCAAATGATCGCATGACCGGAACCGAGGCGATTTTCCAGGTCTCCGAGAGGAAACGGAAGAACGACTCTGGCGCTGATGATTGCATTTTCTTGAGAAAGAGAAGGTCCTTCCCACTTATGTTCTCCCTATAAACACTAGGAGAAGTACAAAATAAGAAAATTAATACAAAGTATTAAAATTGCATTACATTGCTTTGCAAAATTGCCGTTTAGGACAGAAATGCTTGTTTTGTGATTACCTTTTAAAGTGGCTAAAATGCGGCAACAATGAAGGTTTGCCGAGGTGAAAAATCGGACACCGGAGTCCAGACGGTTTATTTTCCCAAAATTTTTTCGCATTTGTCATGAGCCAAATAAGTGTATCATCGGGCTAAGAAGGCTCTATGTGTATTTTAGCATTATGAAACTGACCAAAAAGTTGTCGTAAAACTAGGTGAAACACAAAACAAACTGGGGCTTGAAATACACATGTGGCAGTCTTATCGTTTTGTACAAATCCTTCTCTTCTGTCACTTTGTTAATTGTTAGTTTAAGTTTCGAATTTGGCAGCGAGTCACTGAGGGGCTCCGCAATTGCACCTCGGTGGGGCGGCCTGGCCTCTGGACCATTCCAGCAGCCCCAGCCCATCCTCTATGTCGAAAATACATATTCTGCCCAAGTAATAGTGTTTTCTTTTGTTGTCAGGAAAGTCTCGGTGCTTTGTGTTGGTAGCAGTGGAAAGCCAACTCTATCTTAAAGGATAGCTATCCTACTGTTGGGTGATCAACCTTAGGGTGACGGAGGAAGTGCGTATGCTGTGGATGGAAGAGTATGTGCCTGACCCTAGCAGAAAGTAAAAATGATGTCCATCTGGCGACTACTTCAATTCTGTGTAATGCAGGAATGCAATTAACAGTGGAAACGACACTAGCCGTGAACCATCAGAGAAAGTTCATTACGGAGCTGTGAACAAAGGATAAAGCCTTCACCTCTCCACTAGCTAGATAGAAACCAGATGGATATGACTGGGCAGCTCCAAAGTGGGAACAGCGTGGCAAGAGGAACAACACTGATAAACCCAGTCCTTTGTTACATGACTGCTTTTAGGTCAGCGCTCCTACCACTAGCAATGGACACACGTGATGGACAGTACACTCTCTCGTCCCCCAATACACTTCCCATGCAGGACGAAACTCCAAATCCAGTGGAATTACCAACAGAGATCAGTGACGTTAAGGTCAAATATCTTCTCAGTGGTATAAAAATTCAATATTTGGACGGCTGGCTCTTTGGTGTTTTTCTTACGACACCAAGTGCTTTGTGATGGCTGACGCTGGAGAATGACCAAGAGGAGCGCTGGGGACGACACTTAAAAGAGGAGAGGGCCTATGTAATGCGTTAATTGTTTGGTAACAGACCACTGAGGAACTTCGCCATAGTACTTCGGTCTGTGGCCCGGACGCCGGGCCACAATGATATCATCAAGCCATTCCCTAAGCCAAAAATGCATGTTACGCCCGAGTATCATGTCTTCTTTCATCTTAATGGAAGTCTCAGGACGTTATACTGTATATTATTCTTCTCTTTAAGCTCTAGAGATTTGATTTTCTAAGATAAAGAAAATTGCTTGCAGCCAAAACCGAGACCTCTTAAAAAGACCGAATTTATAAATTCGGCGGTCTTTACCTACACATTTGATAAATGGATGTGCAACATGGTTGTAAACATTTTAATGCCAGTGTTGAAGATTTGTTTTATTATAACTTGATCGTGTCTACCGGTGACGTATTAATCAAAAGGCACTGTCAACTAATGAAGTGCCACAAGGGGCGGAGATTCTGATCTTCGAAAAACAACTAGATAAGCGTGCAAGATCGTGCACTTCAAAACTTATCGCCTAGTAAATATGTCATGTTAGGCATCCCTCGGGTCGGAGGTGATTTACGACGAGGCAAGCGTCTGTGGAAGGCAACGAAAAAAGTTCTCGCTATTTTAATGATTAAAAAACCGCTAAAAGCCTCTTT